ATTATTGCAACGGCTAGGAAAAATTTTTCCTGTTAGGAGAGCGAATTCGGCTAGCTCGACCTAATGAAGGTATTTAATCGCACGCCTCGCTAGATTCCTTAAGGGTGGTATTGACTCGCACACAGTCCCAATCGAATTTACGCCTGATGGAAGATGAGAGTGATAGTGTGCTGGTATGTCTGAGCTAAGAGTTGAAGACCCTGTACTAAAAAACGGAGTGTAATTCAATCACACCGACCAAGGAGAAAAAATGTTTTCCGTTCGTCATGGACGAAACCGGTGATTCGACGTGCACTCCATCCATTGATCAGTCAGTTGGTTTCAAACGAATAAGCGGCATATAAACCAGATGAGAAAATCCTATGTTTAATGGAAAACATCAATGAAGCAGGCGAGTGAGAGAACAAAGGGAAATATTTTAGGGACGGACGCAAATGAAGTTCAAGTCAATGAACTGGACTAAGAATCTGGGCTCAACCGCCCTCCACTTCTGGCTAGTCATCATCATCATCGTACAGCGAAATACAGAGAAGTGAATTTCACTGATCGCTGCCAATCTCGCAATGCATATGCATTGGGGTTCGATGGACGGGTACTGCTAGGGTGTCCAGCCACTAAGCAGGGTTCACAACCAAAGCCTTCATGTTTGACAAGAACATATCCGTAAGGCAGCGGGTGAAGCGAAGTGGAAGCCCATTCAATTGGATCAACTACTCCTCCACTATTTTTTTACCGACCCAAATGCAAATTCTGGTCGAACCCCCAATCTGGAGGACCAGGAGACTGGACTTCGTCCGACCTCTACCCTTCAACCTTCCAGGCACAATTAGATCTTCGGCTTGACAGAAGCCATCCCGTGTAGCTCGTTGGGCCTGAGTGGTGCACAAGTCATCACATCACGTTAAGGTGCAGTCTCGTCGTAATGGGTTCTGGTAAGCAACGATAAAAAATGTGAAAAAGGGCCTACGTTACCGACAACCAGCGCTAGTAATATGGGCACTTCTCACTGTTCGTTGTTTAATAAAAATTGGTTGTTTTATTACACTTTGACAGCCTAAGTCCGGCGCCGTTCGGAACTGAATTCGCGTTACTTTTAACCCGATTCTCGGATGATGTGAGAGTGCACGGTGCCAGCACATCCCTGTTAAACATTTAATAGGATGACGATAGTTCTTTTCACAGCATTACGACAACAACCTCTAACTTGAAAGCAGTTTTCGCTCGCCATTTCATGGTCCGATTCATTCATCCGGCATGCATATCGTTCTATGAAGTCACTAAAAGCCTTGCACAGGAAGACCGAAAATGCCGTGTAATTTCGAAGTGCAAGCACAAGTATTGAATAAAAGCTAGTCAATAAAACCGGTACTGAACTTATTCACACAAAATGAGCCACTGATTTCCATTACTTGCCGTTTATGTGGATCTTTCGGGGACCGATTTCAGTAGAATGACCGGTTTCAGCGACTTCTGACCTACTGATTTCTTCATTCCCTTAGTTGAAGTAAGAAACTGGTCGTTCCAGGCGGATCCAGCTTTAGAGAACCTGCTGAGATTGAACTTAAACACCTGTGGTTTTTGCAGTCCATTCTATCATCCCTTTTGGAAAATAGAGAAAATAATGCCGAAGATGCAATGGTCGGGAACAGTTTCCTTTTTATTCATACTGTACCAAGAAGTTTTGTGAAAACAAACACTGACCCATGTTGTTCCCTAATGAGAGAACGAGTTTTTTCCTAATGCGAGGCTATAACATAACATGTATATCACCGGATTGCGAGGTTTAATGACATAGACCGATTTTTTTAAATCCGAAATTTGCCAATCTCAAGCAAACTATGGTTTACACTACTGCACCACTAGTTTGTATCACGCCGTTATCGTTTTTCTCCTTATCTCTCATTGAAATCAGTCTTCTTTGTGAATAGTTGTATGTAAAGTAAGGAGGATAGAATAGCACGGTCGTTCTGATCTACCGTATAACGTCAAACTCTACTGTTACATCTATCTATACTGGGTTGCTGTTCCGTATCAGAAGGTTTTATTCGGATCTCACGATTTAGTGTCTGCTTGAATACCATGCAGTTGAATTTAGTTTAAATTTTCCCTTAGTTGTTTATTGAATGGTGTCATTGTTTCTGAGTGCTAACTTTTATGTCTCGGAGCTACGCTTCTTTTGGTTTAATTGTATTGTTTTGTATTGTAATAACTTCTGTAGGCATAAAGCCTACATTTAAGTTAAAAACATACCGGTTGGAGCGAGGAAGCAAATAAAAAATAATAACGAAAAAAGAGCTTTAAATCCCAAAACTGTTTACAACGTCTGTGAAAACATGGAAGTGGAGAGACGCGTGCAAGCAGTTTGAAATCTTTCTTTAGGAGGTTGGAAAAAATAACAGTTTAACAACAAAGTTAAACGGAGAAACACTGGTACACGAATTTGCAAATAATTGCTTGTTGAATAAAAAACTGACGAAGTTTACGGATACGAAAAGAAAGTTGTCGAAGCTTACTCACGATGTGTTGAATATGAAAGGTCCAGTGAAGATTACTGTCATTAAAACCCCCAGATATTTAATACAGTTTACCCAGGATACTGATTCAGAGCCGATCGATACCGGTTCAGATGGGAAAGAAGAGCGTGATAATGTAAAGATGTGTTCCAAACATTTGGAGGGATTAAGGGATAGACCAGATGTGGCGGAAAACTGTTGATCATTATCCAAGTTGTCAGAAAATTTGAAGAGAGAAGTAGGGGCGCTAGCAGACAAGTCACTAATGTACGTAGAAAATAAGTATGGCGAAAGAACTGCACCTTGAAATACCTCCGAGATTCGTTCACCAATGGTTTGGATTTCTTCTGGCCAAACCTAGTACATTGAGTTCTCCCGGAGAAGTATTCGGCAAGCCAAGCTAATAACTGTCTAGGATGACCAAAGGTTTCCAGTTTACGAAGAAGAAGGGAACGAGGAATAGAATTAAAAGCAGATGAGTAGTCCAGAAACACAACAAACAGATTTCGCAGATTCATTCAAGGATTTGATTATTTTATGCACAAGTGAGAAAACTGCATCTAGCGTGCATCTGTTTGGTTTATAGCCAAACTGAAGAGGATCGTAAGGGACATCAATGGATAACTGAATGCGCTTAAGAACAACACGTTCTGCTAGCTTGAGTCCAACGGAGGTTCAAGCGATAGGGCGAAAGCGTTTGGTTAGAACGTCTGAAGTAGAGGATTTGGGTATGGGAACAATTGCTACTGGTTTCCAACAATCTAATATGGAGCAGGTTCTTAAGGAATTGTTCAAAAATGATGTGAATATTTCACTGAGAGAATAGGACCCATATCTCAGAAGGGAAGATGAGAAGCCATCAGAACCAACACTGCACGTGGTTTTCACAGTACGCAGAAGCTCAAAAGTTTCTTCTTTAGAGGCAGCCTCTACGTGAACGGCATCATCCAGACCAAGTGGCGTGATAGCATCGCTTGGTGGGTGGATAAATGCTGCATTAACACTGTCCAAATCCGTTGTACGAGCCGGCATTTTGGATTTGGTCCCACACATGAATTTAATACCTTGCCAAATTCGCTTACATTGCAGAAGCTGGGCGCCGTACGACACAGAGAGGCGTTTAAGTTCAGCTTTGATCAACTGGGTGTAATTTTTGACAGCCGCTGAGTCTCTCGGTTTTTACGATCGTTTCTTCTGTCTTCTGAATGATTTCAACAGTGGAGATGCTATTCTGCCGTCAGACAAATATAGTTCCAAAGGGGCAGCATAGGGTAAACATGTGGTTGAGTGTTCAGTGAATAAGTTGACTGCATTATGTAAAGAGAGACAGGGAGAAAACCACGAAGAAACGACACTAATGGAATACTTAAAAAGAAGTGTTTCTTGGGGAGATATTGTGAAGATGAATGGTGATTTGGTTGGTTCTTGTCTGTATTTTGAATGGAACACGAATACGCTATGGGTCTTATGAGAGTGATCATTAGTGGAAGCAGATGATGTGAGTTTTGAGGTAAAATGTTCTGGGTGAGTAGTAATTACCTTGTCTAAAAGTGAATCACTTCTTGTGCGGGCTAAGCAAATATCAGTTAAGCCAAAAAAGCTTATGGGATAGGTGAATGCATGAATAAAGTCACCGACAATTATGTGGAGACTGTTGTATATGAGGGGAACGAAAGACCGACTAAATGTATCAAAAAAGGATAAAATGAGACTGGGTACAAAAGGGCGCCATATATAAATTGGTAATGATTGTGCTTTTATGTCGCGAAGATTCTGGGGGAACATTGAATAGCTAAGCAGTCGATGCCATCGGCGGAATAATCACAACGAACCTCAAACTTGCCGCTCCCGGTTGAATTGATGTACCTGATCACCCCACCTCCTGTTTTCTTCTTACAATGCTTTCTGTCCTTACGGAAGCATTGATTCCAACTAATGAGTCCTCGATAGTTTGGTCAAGCCAGGATTCTTGAATACAAACGACACATGTGTTATGCTGGATCGAAGGTACACGTTAGATCCGTCATCTTTACAAAAAGCGACCTGATGTTCGCGCTGACCAATGACATCTCTAACCCTAGTCCCCTAGTGTTAGCGACAGATGGCCGTGGCAACCGGAGGACTTGGTTTTTGGATGCACAAAATATGACTGTTCCGTCGGATCGCCATTACCTCTTCGGTAATACCTGAATTGGATTCACCATTCCTTGAATGGTGCCTAAGAAATTATAGACTAGCCTAGGGTAATGTAGGCAGTAGAGTAGATACTACGAGGATCTTTTCGAAAAAAATGAATTCTGATTAAGTCTGTATTCATCCTTTCCAGTTGCTGGTTTCCACCACCCGCTTCCCAATTCGTTAGTTCTTTTGTTGATATCTCATCTGTTAACTTTCCTTTTTCATTCATATCCCCCGTCTGCATCGTAGCTGATCTGCGAACAGTTAGACCTATCTTCCATTCGCTCCATACATGCGTTCGCCGATCGAATGATACGCCAAGGTCAACCGATAGATATTTTGATCAACAATGCCGGTATCGATTTCCCCCGACCTCAGTTCGGTCCGGACGGAATTGAGGAGCACGTGCGAGTGAACCATCTGGGTCACTTTCTTCTGACCAACTTACTACGACCGTTACTGGAAGCATCCGATGCTGCTCGAGTAATTGTGCTGTCGTCTATAATGCACCGCCTGGCAGAGGTGAATGTAAATGATTTGTGTCGACCCCTAGTCGGATCGTGTTATGCAAACAGCAAATTGTTGAATGTGATTCATGCCCGAGAGTTGACGGAGCGTTGGTGCGCGTCAAACAAAGAGCACGATGGACATACCGGATCCTCGGTGATAGGAGTCAGTGTCCATCCGGGCTTCGTTATGACCCAGATCTTTCGCCATTCGCCGTTTCGTTCAGTGAGTTCGCTTCTTCCAGTCTCTTCTTTACGTAAATTGACTTACTCCCGATGTTCAGCCTTAATCGGATAATTTCAACCGCATTATGTTTCGGAACATCAAAAATATGCTCATGTTGTGATGTTCCAGTGGGTTTTACTATAACCTGTATTCTTCCTGTTCGTAGGTTATAATCAATCATCATCCTATGTTGTCCTTTACCTGCGCTCGAGACTTAGCGCATTGATTGCCGTTTTCATGACCTAGATCATCGAGTGAAGTTCGTCCTACTGTCAGCCCCACTTAGACGTAGACAAAAGAGCCAGCGTTAAAAAATTGCAACTACGTTAGATACATCGCTTGGAGAAAAGATCTCAGGTGAACCTTTGACTCGCGTTCCGAACACTTGTTTAATGTCGCCAAGTTTGACGTCGCCGCAGCACTCGGCAGTCCATGAAGTGACTCGTGTACCTGTTCGCCTTCTACACGTCTATCTTGTCCGAGTTAAATATGTTTATCTCGTTACTATCCGCTTTCATGTAATCTCACTTGTCTTGTGTGGTCGAATGAAGGGGTAGTCGGAAGATAAAAACCAAATTCAGGGTCTGGTTGAATGAACTGAGAGAGAAACTAGAAAATCAAAGTCAAAGTATGCTTTATTCACCCGTAGGGTGAATTTTCAGCGATAGAAGAATTCGCATTACATTTTCACATGCCAGCAGAGTTGTGCAATTGATTTGTAAACATTCCAGCATCAGCCGAACTGGGTTTTGGCTTTCCTGTTCTGCTTCATTTATCTGATGCATTTACAGGAATACAGTGATGTTCAGTTGGAATGCAGTGTTTTTATTCAACGTTTCTAAGTGACAAGGATGTGTGTGCAATATAAAAATGGTTTACTCGCATGTGCTCCAATCGATAGCCTTTGCAGACAGCAGCTTTCTCAGTTGCATTTCGCTCAACCATCAACCTTTTGCCATTTTATCCGTTCGGATTGTGGTCTTTTGGCAACCGTTTGGTTGAGCAGTAAATGAACACAGGTTTACTACCGGGCGGTAAGGTGAGCAGCAAGTGTGATCATGTCGAAACGTATCAAACAGTCTGCTTGCCACATTATCTTATTCTAAGGCTGATCTTGTATCACTACTTAGAAGTAGTTGTAAACTAGTTTCGAAAATAATATCTGCGCTCAGCATTACCAGTTTGCATCTTACAGTTTCTTTGGGACCAACAGCAAACGGCTGTAAACCGGGACAGAAAAATGAAACGAGATGAACATGCATTTTGCTACAGACGTAGATAAGATACATTTTTTTCTTTGTAATAATCTGTTCTCATTTTTATCACATATGTAATTATGCAGTACATTTTTGGGAGTTGATATATGGTCTATTAAGGGGCAGTTAGTCGGTTCAGTGTTATGGTTACCTACACCCTTTGGGCACATATTTTTGTAGGTTCGTTTCGGCCCTCATTCTTGACAAAAATCTTACGTGTTAAAAACGAATACCATATTTTACTCCGTTACAGTGGTTGGTGCATCGATGTTTCTCTTGGCTGGCTAAAACGCCTTGGCAAGGCTCTCAGACCGTTGTTTACTGTGCGCTCAGTAACAACCTTGTTCCTGGTGCTTACTACGCTGAGTGCCGTGTGACCAAATGCAACGCTCAAGCACTGGACCGTCAGGTTGGACAGGCTGTGTGGGACGCATCGGAACGTTTGGTCAAGATTTGGGAGGGTGCCAGTAAATGATCGCCTACGTGTGCGTGTGTATTCCTGCGATGGGAAATATTTACCCCTTACCTCTCAGATTGTTTCCAAGCTCTTGGCTCTCACATGGTCACCCACAGATTCGTTCCCTCTGACAAACTCACTCTCGAACATTCTTCACTCTGTATTGCCTATCATATCGAAATGTGTTTGTCTTTGCTCTACTGTTATGCTCTTCAAGTATCGTGAATATCCCGGTGGTTCCTCTGTTCTGTGCACTAATTGATTCGGTCCTTTTGTTTGCCATCTGACCGCTTCCTCTTTGCTTCAGTTTTGTTCTTGTTGTTCCGAGCGTCCTCGTTTTCTGCGCTTGTTTTACTCACTCAACCAATCAATGTGTTTGTTCTTTTGCATCCATACTGAATGTAAATATAATTCCCGCTGATATATTTTTTTAATCAGGTCACAGGCATTTATTCTCAGTTGAATGCAGCTTTTACTGCATTTTATCACAAACTACAGAAACCGGGGCTTCCGGGTGAAGAGGGAACGTACGTGTTTGTTTCAGTGCGGGCTCTGCCTAACATAAGTCATGAGTTTCGATTCGGTGACGAATAGCGAGATGTGTGCAACAAAATAGTGATTCAGCTGCGAACTTGTTTGCTTCAGTGGACCAACCAAGCACAGTTGTAAACCTAGTCCTTAAGGCTCGCTCTCGCTTTGGAAACTGGGACTACTTGCGACTAATGACAAAAACACAGCGATCTTTAATGGGGAAAGTCGAAAGCGAGATTTCCGACTAAAAATTTACTGGGGTTGTTGAAGTGTCTGTTCTTATCCCTTTGTCGAGCTGGCTATTTTGTTTGCAAACGTTTCATCGAGAACTAAGAAGACATTTTATTGGTTGTGGTATACACTGGTATTCTCCTTATGTGTTTTTCATTTTGAGAGGTTCTTATTAAGCAATTAGTCCATTATCCCCATGGTTCACAGCCCAATTCTTTTTTCGTCTCGAGTGATCCTTTAATCCTCAGTTGGGCCGCAGTTTCCGTCGTATGATCCTCCAGTCGCACCTAGACGTACACGTAATTCAATGCAACGTATCTGTACACTGCGTTGATCGACAAGCACCAGTCATCGAAAGATATTGCCGTGGCGCTTTGTGAAGAGATATAGCTTGCTTTCCCTAGTCCATCGATCAGTTCCCCTAACTGACCTTCATGCAATAAGATAGCTGAGACAGGTTTATGGCTCGTGAGCGGCAAATGGTTGATACTAATCATTCAGTTTGTCGGACAAAAGGTTTCGGGTAGACGTCACGAGTAATATTTCAGATAAATTCACTCACATCTTTGACCCAACAAAACAAAATGGATCCGAAACCCACAACACATCTTTAATTGATATTGAACAGACAGTTACGCGTGCAATGTCGATGATAATCCGATATTAGAAAAACGTTCCATTTCGGGAGATATTATCAAATTACCACGACATTTAGATATTGGTTTGTCCTTTTTCATCGGTCTACACCCGTTTCAATACACAACTCATCGTTTCTGAAAAACTAGCTAAACACAGTCTCTGTCACACATCCCCTTCGTGAACGCATTTCGTGAGGCCAGACGGGGCGAACTGCAATTCATCATTTCATTGCGCTTCAGAATTGCTACTCCAATGATCCAGCGATAGCAAAACTGCTTCTCCTCTACTCCTTTTGGATTGTGTAGCCATATGCACTTCTGCAAGCTGTTTGAGAGATTTCATCGTCAAAAGCCCTGTGCAATGACGCGTTCGATCAGCAGCCCTCTCCGTGTTCAAGTTCCTCGGAAATCTGCCCCGCTTCACTTAATGCCACTTTGCGTTGTAGAGTTCATCATCGTGGAACTGCTTTAGAACGTGCTTGTTCATTTGTTCCAATCCAACGCTGAGTGAAACTTCGTTTGGCTTATTCCGAGATAACACATCTTGTATGCCCACTTCCCCCGCGTTTCATGTAAACAGTACGCACAAGTGAGCGAATTCCTCACAATCGCGTGCTCCAGTTTATTTGAAATAACAAGCACTTTTCTGTTGAAAATGTTACCAGAGATAAGATGGAGGTAAATTCCATCAGATTCTCAAAGTGTGCAACATTTCAGGGTACTGATATTTTCAGCCTTCAGTACAACGTGTCAGAGCACGATCGACTGGGTATCAGATCTCTTTTGTGCAGTATATCACTGTGGGAGTGTATCCACCTAAGAATGTCCGCTCTGATCAATCAACATCATACACCATTAGGATGAGACGGGAAAATATTTCATATGCTTAATATTTAGGTCATTCTTGTTTGCTGTCGGACTTGACGTATTAAATTAATGAGAGAAAACAACGTGCGATGAGGGTCAAGTATCTAGCTACATTGGTCTGGTCACATAGCGTGTGTGGTTGTGTGAACTGGATGCTACAGATAATAAACAGATAAAATTTCGCAGTTTGCACTCCCGAGACAGCTAAAGATAGTCAACGCGCCACTAATTGCAGGAAATCATCTTATGGTACTTGACGTTTGTGATAATTATGCGGCGAAAAAGTACAGTTTACGTGATACCTTTCCGCATATAGGCGTGACATATTTACAATAGGCATTTCCAGACGGCTGAAGTGCTCGGGATACCCGAGATGATATTATCTACACCTTAATCCATATAAGCGGGGGTCTCCCGAATGACTAACGTAGTGGTAGGGTCGGAAACAGTTGTTAAAGGTAATCTGGCCTGCGTTTTGTGAAGGTGGTTA